GTGCCTGGAGTAGAGCTTCACGAAGCTTTAGAAATGCATGGCCGACAGCTTGAGGGTTTAGTAAAGGGCCAGCAGAGGCATCGTGGGCTGCATCATAGAGGGGTTTAGCAAGGAAAGACAGAATCTGTTCAGCGGGCGTGGGTGGTTGGAGATCGCAAAGAGCCTGTTGGCGGTCAACAGTGAGATCCCGGGACGTGGGGGTGGGCCGAAGTCCAAGATATGTGACCGTGGGCTTGGACGGCTGGACTTTGGAGGGGGACACTCGACAGCCCTTGGAAATAAGGAAGTTAAGTAGAGAGGCAGTGCGGGTCTTAGAGTGCTGTGAAGAGGAACTACATGAGCAGGTATATCATCCAACATAGGATAACAGCGTTAGGGGCTGTAAGGGAAATCTGGGAGTAGGTCCTGGCAGCCTTGACCAGATATGGTGGGGCTGTCCCAAACCTGGGCAGGACTGTCCAAGTGAGTTGTCTAGTGTAATTTGTGTAGGATCTCCCACTTAAGTTGCAAAGAGATTGTAACTGGCTGGTCTATAGGGGATATGCAAAGAGGCATCTTTGAGGTACAGAACCCCAAAAAAAGCGGGCGGTGGAGGCGGAATATTAGAAGAGTAAAGTGCAGTGGATTGGCACCACAGGTGTATGGGGAATAGCAGACCTCCTTAAAGAGGCCTCCAGGTCCTTAACCAGCCAGTAGGACCTGTTGGTTCTTATAGAGAATGGTATTTATAGGGAAAATTTTGGATAACGTTTCATGCAGAAGACGTTCTATAATCGGGTTTTAGACCTCTGCGGTGAGTCACTGAAACAGGGAACTGGGCGGAAGGGAAAATGAAGGGTCTTTGAGTCGAATGAGGAAGGATTTCTGTGTGCCACTATAGGGTAGCAGATGCCCCAAAACCGAGGCTACAAGTTCAGCGCGGAGAGGGCATCTTCGAAGGCAAGGGTTGTGGGTGAGGATCTGAAGAAGAGGGATGATGAAGGAGAAGGGCCAGTGTTCCTTAGGAAAGTGGAGTATGTTCGTATATTTGGCCTATATCATCTCTTCGTAAAAGTGGAATAGACAGGAGGGCATGATACAGAAAGAGTGGGTGATGAATGTGTCTATGAGACATGTCAAGACCAGTAGTAGAGGCCATGAAGGCTGCCATCCATACCCATTAACGATCACCTGGGAAGATAGGTAGGGCCTGAAGAGTCATGTTGCTGAAGAAGGCAGGACAGAGTAGGTTAGTCCCCGTGTTGAACCAAAAGGAACTGTCTACCCGATAACTTTTGATGTTAACCTCTGGGCTCAGCGGGGGCAACCGGCCCTTCGTCGGTCTTTCAGCAAGCAAAACCGTCAACCAGGATGGCGGGTGGAAGGACTGACCTCTAGACCTTTGTCCCAAAAGGGGGGGGGGCCAAAAAAAATTCATCTTACAGTGTCCCTCTTGACCACAGGTCCGGACAAGGCTTATTGGGCTGCGTGGCTGCAGATCGTGTTGCCCAGTTGGCCTTACTTACCACACTTGAAGCAGTGCCTGCGGACGTGCGGCCTGTTTTTTGACAAAGTCGATGCTTTCCGGCACTGGCCAGGGCTGCACCAAGCTTGGGCTTGCAGTGTGTTGCTTTGGGGCACTGGGCTTTCCTTTGGGCCTCTGCCTGTTTTCTCGGGAATGTAAGATTTAATGCCATGTTCACCAGGTCTCGGATCGGGGTCTGAGGGCCTTCTCCTGCCTTTTAAGTTGCGTCTAATGTCAGAGGAGGACTGAGTGATAAAGTGAAGTGCAAGACGGTGGCACCTGCTGGGGGGGGGTCCCAACCGGGTGTGTTGGATGAAACACTCATAAGCGGCTGAGGAAAGCCCGCGGGATTTTCATCGTTTTGAGTGATTTCTTAACTATTAAATTAATTGCCCGGTGGCCCAGGCGGCCTGGAGACCAGCAAGAATGCATTTGCAGCATGCATCTCGGCGGGTTCTACATCTTGGTCCGCGAGGGTGTCTGCTGGTATTCACCCTGTGCGGCTCACTGCGTGGGACAGCCTCGCCGCAGGACATGGTGCGGTCTGCTAGTTGGACTTGACACATGTCCTGAGCTGCGCCCGTACACGTCCTTCATCGTAAGTAAGAGTAGAACAGAATAACAAAAATATCATGCCAGGTAAATCATTGCTTTGTGTAAGAGCGGAATCTTTGGTGTTAGGCTGTTGGGTGTAGAAAAGGAGGAAAACTTATATTCAATCTGAGAGAGATCAGAAAGGGAGAAGGGACCTGGGTGCACGATTTCGAACTGGTACCTCTCTCAGGGACAGAGCAAGGGTTTCGTGCGGTCTCATGGGCACAGTGTGGTGATGACAGGGGATGTTGGCAAGACAGCACAAGCAGTAGCAGAGCATGGCACTAGGAGAGGAGGAGGTGGAGGAAGAAGAACAATAAGTAGATGGGGACTTGAGCAGCGGGGAAGGGTAACAGTCAGGAGGGTCAGAAAGTGGAAAGAGGTTTTCTAACGGAGTTTCGGCTGAGAGGTAGTAAGAAGCAAGGAGGTGGAGAACTCAGTGCAAGGAGGATTTGACGGGTTCAGCAGGTCTTGAGCAGAGGAACAGGACGGAACAGATGGAAAAAGCCTGACATACAGGGATTCCCACTATTTGCCATTTGGTGACAAAGTTGTCGAGATCTTGTAAAATTTTTGAAATGAAGTCCCATTTGCCATTGTGACCCATGCCTAATTGTACATCGGCCACGGCAGTTTACAATAGAATGAGTCGTTCCGTAATATTCAACTTGAGGGTCCCAGGCTGCAAGAACTGGCTAAGAGACCAGCCCAGAAGGCGTTGTTAGATTGATGTTGGAGGGTTGAGCTGCCCAATGGTGCTAGCCAACGAGGGAAGGAGATCGGGAGCCGGCGTCCCAGGTCACGAATCAGGCTTGGAGAGAAGCTCTGACCTTGGAAGGACTGACTTGAGGGGATCAGGCGTCCCTGAGCACCAGGGCCTTAATGGTCTTACGGATGGAAGACTGACTGAGGGGCTCCGGCCGTTCGACATCAGGTCCTTATAATCCTTACGGATGGAAGGACTGACTGAGGGCTCGGGCGTCCCCAGACACTCAGGTCCTTATAAATCCTTACGGATGGAAGGACTGACTGAGGGGCTCGGCGTCCCCGAGACACTCCGGTCTTATAAATCCTTACGGTGGAAGGACTGACTGAGGGCTCGGGTCCCGAGACACTCAGGTCCTTTAAATCCTTACGGATGGAAGGACTGACTGAGGGGGCCTCGGGCGTCCCGGCAGATCATCTAGGTCCTTATAAATCCTTACGGATGGAAGGACTGACTGAGGGGTCGGGCTCCCCGAGACACTCAGGTCCTATAAATCCTTGACGGATGGAAGGACTGACTGAGGGCTTCGGGCGTCCTGAGGCACTCAGGTCCTTGTAAATCCTTACGGATGGAAGGACTGACTGAGGGGGCTCGGGCGTCCCCGAGACACTCAGGTCCTTATAAATCCTTACGGATGGAAGGACTGACTGAAGGGGCTCGGGTGTCCCCGAGACACTCAGGTCCTTGTAAATCCTTACGGATGGAAGGACTGACTGAGGGGGCTCGGGCGTCCCCGAGACACTCAGGTCCTTATAAATCCTTACGGATGGAAGGACTGACTGAGGGGCTCGGGCGTCCCCGAGACACTCAGGTCCTTATAAATCCTTACGGATGGAAGGACTGACTGAGGGGCTCGGGCGTCCCCGAGACACTCAGTCCTTGTAAATCCTTACGGATGGAAGGACTGACTGAGGGGCTCGGGCGTCCCCGAGACACTCAGGTCCTTATAAAATCTTACGGATGGAAGGACTGACTGAGGGGCTCGGGCGTCCCAAGACACTCAGGTCCTTATGGTGGGGATCTCTGACTTGGGCTATGGACAGAGACCTGGAATGGACTCATTGGGCTAGGAACACAAGGGCAGAGGACTTACCCAGGCCAATTGGTCGCTGGCGTCCGGTGGAGGTCCCGGTCCGAGGTCTAGAACACGAGGGGACAGCGCGACCACGCCTGAGGCAGGCCGGCACAGCCAAGATCCCCTCCGGGTTTCGGCACCAAATGTAAAGGTTTTTTCGGCGGTGCGAAAAGAAAAGAGACACAGAAAGAGAAAGAGTAGGGGGGGCCAAACACGTGGCTTTATTATACCCTCGTGGACGAGGTTCTGGGGCCCAAGAGCAGGGCCGGAAGTCGCCGCAGTTTGAAGGGGCTGAGGCCTTTTATATCTTTGGGCCTGGCTAGGGACTTTTGCGGGAAGAGCTGGGGATTTTAGGAGGGGCTGGAGGTGTTTGTGGAATCCAGGAGCCAAAACATTCTTATCTAGGTGGACATCTGGGTGTGGATCCTCTCAGCAGGGCCTGGCAGTTTTGTCCTTGGCAGGTCAGGTCACTAAGCGTTTTCTTTTTCCATCTAGGGAGGGGAGGGGGCCCCTGCCACCAGCCTTACAATTTTAACTATTTAATATCTTTGCTAGTTCTAACATCTCTAGGTCTATTTATTTTTGTTATTGTTGTTATTTTTATTATTATTATTATTATTTTGTATAAGGAGAAATCATTTTTGCAAGGATTAGGGGAAAGGACTATTGTAATAGGGGAGAATATCTGTTACAATAGCAAAAATGCTGTGACCATAGGTTTGCAAGCATGTGCTCTGGGTCTATTTTACCAACTTTTTTCTCCTGGTTATGGATCACATTTTCTGGCTTTCTCACATATCTAACCTGTTTTATTGGACAGTGGACAATGTGAATTACACATCCTTAGTTGAAAGTTTCACTGCACTTACTTTTAGTGTTGTATTTTGTTCTGGTGAACAGTTAAGTTACTGGAATCAGTCATATTTCATGGCTTTCTTTTAACCAGTGTAAGAGTGGATCTAGAGCAGACAGGCTTGATTTAACCCCCTGACTAAACCTGAACATCTTATCAGATTTTCTTCTCTTTCTCTCTCTCTCCCTCTCTCTCTCTCTTACCCCCCCCCTCTTCACTCCGCCCTTTATATCTCTCTGAAGCTCCACCTTGGCCTCTCCCAACTCCAACCTCTACATGCCCAATTCAGTGAGAGGCCCTGAGTGCTGGTTGAATTCCATGTCCCTGAGCTGCAACCTGAAAGCTGCTTCAAACAATAAGCTGATACAATTCTGGGGCTCATATCTTTTACTTTCCTTTTCTCAGGGATCATATTTCTGCATGGCTTGATGTCCAACATAAAGCAACAGTTTCCCCTACTCTTCCAAAATCACAAGGTCACTTAGTTCTGGCCTGGAGGGTGACATCTCACAAACAGTCCCTTTCAATGCAACACCCTCTCAGAGCACTTCCTCAGCGCCTCACTTAGAAGTCACCTTGTCCTCCCGATATCAGTTTTAGAAAAAGAACCCAGAGACACGGTCTTCCTCTTTCCATGTAAGGTTGGGAGGTTATGGAATGTTTAGATATTCCCAATTTGATGCAGTGAGTCAGATATGTAAAAATGCTATTTTAAATCACCCAGTAATTTCTACAATATGTATCACAGATCCAAGAGTGAGTCTTAGAGATGGAATTAGACTCAAAAACAATGTGACTCTTGACAGGGTGAGAATACCAGCTTTGAATATGACTTGGTAATAATAATTCTTAAAAGGTTAATTGATTGTATTTAGACCATATAGGAATGCTCTACATTAAAATCACTGCATCAAAACATCACGCAATATATGGCACTTTAGCTCAAGTGGGGAGAATGAGGAGAAGAGAGGAGTGGTAGTTGTAATAAAATAAATAACAAATGTTCAGTGCTTACTATATGACTGACACTAGCAAGCATATTGCATGTATTCACTCATTCAATCTGCACAAAAATTCCACGTGTTAGATAGTGCTATTATCCCATCTACCTTTGAGGAAACCAAGGCCCAAAGAGATTAAGTAATTTTCTCAACGTCACACAGTTTGTGACCAGAGGATTCAGGAGAATCAGTGGTAGCAACTAAAAGTCTAGAGATAATACATATATTTTAAAATGTGCTTGTCAATCTACAGTGGAACTAGTGGCTGGAATTCATAGAAAGTTGAGAGAGGGAACTGAAAATTTCAGAAAAAAATCTCTATTTTTTCACTCTCATTTCTCCTTGGAGTTGGTGAGGACTTCACTGAAGAGACACTGAGGAAAAACCTGGCCATTAATACAGAACTTGCTACTCATTTCTGAATCTCCTCCAGCTCTGCTCACTCCTCACGTCACCTGGTTAGCTCTCTAGACTAAGGTATCCTCCACAATGTTACCACTGCAAGGTGCCAAGATGCTGCAGACGCTGGAGGAAGCCTTGAGAAAGAGCCTCCCTGCATCCATAAAGGTGACAATGGAAAATTCCATGGGGAGTAAAGAAGAGAAACTTGCTGTGAAAGAAGAGAGAAAGAGACTAACATTTATGGAGCACCTATGTGCAGCCAGGCACTATTTCATGTCTTCTCTCATTTAATTTGCATTACCGCACTACGAGATATCTGCTGTCCTGTCCATGTCATTGACGAAAAAAAGGGGACTCAGTTAAGTGGTTTGCTCACTGTCTCACAGTGAGCTGCGATGCTATAAAATGACCACGGAGATGCCAAACACTGCCTTTTGCTCTGTGCTGACTCAAAAATTATTCCCTTGCTTCTTTCCAAGAAGCATTCTATAAAAACTTCTGACATTTGCCCAGAGTTCGCCTCCAAAGTTCTCTGTGACTATATATTAATGTTTAATTTGTTCACCCTAAAAGAACATTTGCCAGGTGAGAGGTTAACCATCACGAGTCTTCTTTGAAATCAGTAGCAGTTCGATTTCTATTTTGATTTAAATTTCTCAATTGCTCTGAACTCTGTGCACATCAGGCTATTTGGAGGCTGGCTGCCAATATCTCCCTTAACATAGTACAATTAATTAGAAATTTCAGAATGAAATGAAACACGCACATAAATGCCTACTTTCAAAACTATGTAAAAAGCAGGTCTAATGATAGGTTCAGATCCTTGCTTGCATTTTTGTTTAGCATCCAAAGGGATATGGTGCATTCCAGAGGAATATAAATACAATCTAGTGTGTATGTGGGTGTGTGGGGGGGGAGTGTGGGTGTATATCTATTTAGAGGACAATCACTTATAGATTTGTAATTTTTTATAAAACATTCCTTAAAAATGCATACAGTTTAGATAAATACACTTCCTCATTCCCTAGCAGATTTTCTTATTTCCTTCCTTTAATATGAAGGAGAAAATATTAGCACCCTTTTCTTTGTAGCTCAAATGGTTTTATTTACAGTCATTAGAAGTAAATTAATGATACAACTGACCCTGTTTTTTACTAACAAAACCAAATGGCTTCTAATCAACTAATATAATACTAACTAATATTAGTAGAACCTACTAATATTAATCAATACTACTTAATATTTAGCTGCCCTCACATGACAACCCTTAAGGTACAGACAACCTCCCAGGGAGACAGTGAAGTTTCCTTGGATATTACACCAGTTGGGGCACTGTGGACACTTGCCTGAGATTTTATGATGAGTAACTACTTTTAAAAATTCTCCAATCTAGAAAGTTTTCTTCAATCTACAGAAGTGATATAGAATTTTGTGATTTACAGTTCTCTTTATTCTTTAAACGAATTTTAAGTTCATTTACATTTTCCCCTACACATTTTCCCCGAATCAAATCTAGGATATGTGTGTGTCAGGGGCTTCTAATGGAGTTATAATCTAGAATTCACCATTACTTACTTACTGAAGGCCTAGTTGAGAAAATGTGCATTCATTCTTCTAAGCATTAGATATTAAATACATTTTATCTCAAGTGTCCATTCTGGTTGATTCCACTGATAGTGGCTGCCTCACTATGTTCTGACCACTATATTCTGAGTTCAGCAGAAAATAAGGATTTTAATTCATTAGGCCATGGCAATAAGAAAGAATAACATTTTTACATATTTTCAGATTTTGCAATGGATAATATTGTAGTATAAATATACTTTAACAGGCCCTAGACACAAATGTGTTAAAAGGCAACCTCTATATTTTGCCCGAACTGTACTGAATTTCTATATCAAACTTCCACTCATGGCGGAAACAGAATAAATAATGTCCTCCTTCTATCAGCATCAGGGTCTGGGAGTGAACGCAAAGCACTTCCTGATACCATTCCTTCTCATAGATTCCCCACTCCCCACTCCACACTAGGTCAGATCCAGCACTTGCTAGGGTCAAGCAGTCCCCCTGGGGCCTGGATTGCCTGGCTCCCCAGCGGGAATGTGCATTGCAGAAACAGCCTCTCCCTATCTCATGCTCTGAAGACTCAGTTTTCTGCCAGACCCACAGCATAGGCTATTGCCCACCACTTCTTTCAAAGTATCTGTGATTTCTTTCACTTTTTTTTTTTTTTTTGAGTTTCCATGTTTCTTCTTGGATTCCCGCCCACAGTGTGATTTTCTACATGCTATTTTGCTGTTTCCAAGTGGGTGAGGCATGCTAACAAAGCCTCTAATCCACCATCTTGGGGAATAAAACACGACATTCTTGAAATATGCCTCTAGATAAAAGCTTAGATTTGCCTCTAGATATGTTAGTTTTCCACTATTTTGAGACTCTCAATGACACAGTAGAAATGTCTGGTGACATTTTTATTTTTCACAACTGAGATCACATACATAGAACATTTTAAATAATCTGGAAAACAACTTGTACTAGAGCTAATAAATGAATTCGGTAAACTCACAACACATAAGGCCGATACGTAAGAATGGGCAGCATTTTTTACAGGCCAAAGAGCTGAGAAGCCAAAGTGAGCAAAGAACATCAGAAGCTGGTATCTCAGCATTAAAGGGCTAAGTACATAAAACCAAAATTTGACCAGGGAGGAGTTTCAGGCAAACGATTAGGAAAGTAAGCAATGGCAAGGAAGTAATAAGCTCATACTGCAATGATTTTCTCCTGACACCTACAGCTTTGGCAGCTCTCAAGTCTAATGCCATTTGAATTTAACAAGATCTCTCTCCTGTGGTTGATAAGACAAAGAGTTGCCCAATACTGGATGGAGAAGGGCACCTGACACGACCCACATGTCAATGGTCTGTCTAGTGATGTCTCCTCTAGATTCTTTTCTTAGAGCCTCTACTAAGGAGTGAATTCTCCCTCCTCTAATTCTCACAGAGTTAAAACAGAACACTTGATGGCATCAGTCTATGATAACTTTGGTCTTACATTTTCGTATAGTTAAGACACTATGACCAAGAAGTGTTGATGATGAACTGAATTTGATGCAGTGAGTCAAAATGTAAATATCTCCTATTGGGGGGGGGGGGGTTTGAGGCAAAGGAAAGTGAAGTTTATTAATTTGCCAGCAAAAATGAGAAAAATGGCAGACTCCCGTCTTAAAGTACCAATTTTCCTAATTATAAGCAGAAATACAGAGCTTTTAAAGGTAGGGTTTCCAGTTTAGGCTATTGCTGTTTAACTATAGTTGATGGTTCTAGGCACTGTCTATGAACCAGAAAGCCTTCACCAGACACTGAATCTGCCAGTGCCTTGATCGTGAGCTTCCCAGGCTCCAGAACTCTGAGAACATAATTCCTTTTCTTTATAAGCTACACAATTTATGGTATTTTGTTATAGCAATCCAAACAGACTAAGACAAGCATCTTTTCATTCCTGGCTATTTCTTGTGTCTCTCTTTAGGCTAAGGTACCTGCCAAGATGATCCACTTGCAGGGTCCACAGATGCTGAAGATGCTAGAGAAGTCCTTGAGGAACAGCCTCCCTGAGGCCTTAAAGGTGAGAATGAAATGCCATCAGCAAAATAAAGGACTGCACCTTCCTGTGATGGGGATTGGAAAGAGATGAGCTTCTATTGTGCATCTACTCTGCGGCAGAACTCACTCATGTTGTATCTCATTTAGTTCACATCACCTCTTTGTAAGGGAGGTATATTATGTTCATGTCCCAGAAGAGAAAACAGGTCTCAGTGATGTGACCTGCTAAGTATCCAAAATGGCAAAATATTGCTCTCTGCTGACTCAAACACATTTCATTGTTTACTTTCAAAAATGCTTCACTATAGTTGAACAGCAATAGCCTGAACTGGAAACCCTCCAACTTCTATGCTCTGCAGTTTCCTTGTATAACATGGGGGTAGTGAGAGCTTCTACCTCTTGCAGTGGTTGTCAGAATGAGGGGACTGCAGGCGTATCAGGTAGAGCTGTGCCTGGCCCACAGATGAGCTGTGTGAATGTTAGCTGTTATTATTATATATCAGACCACACATTTGTAGTGGAGTGAATCCTGGGCACATCTGTTCTGCTTATTTGGCACTGATACTTTGAAAGACTTGGCACAATGTTTGGATGAACTGAACACATTCACTTCCCTCAATCCTAGCCATTGGTGTACCTTCCTTTTAGCTTTCTTCTACATGTTGATCACATGGCTTTATTTTCATTTTAAAGACACAACTGTCTCTGTCTTTTAAGTACTATGGCCTCCACTGGTTAGTGGAAGATCACATAACTTTACCAGAGGATCATTTGAAAATATATCTAAAAAATCCTTAAATCTGTAGATGACTTTTAACCCAGAAATCTTCCTTCTAAAAACTATGCCTCCGTAAATATCAGACGCATTGCAAAGATTTTATAAAAATATGTTTATATAAAAATATATCTTTGAAGGGTCATTTGTTATTATACAATGAAAAGTTAGAAACACCAACTGTGCATCAAGAAAATATAAAAAAATGAATTGTGGGGTGCTTTTACCCATTCTTCCTGCTAAGTACAGCTAAACTTTCTGGATATTCATACATATATTATGTATTTATAAAAACATCAGAAGACTGAAGTGTGTAAAGAAGAAGGTAAACCAGTAAGTGGTCTTCATATCCAAGGAACAGCACTGCAGTGAGTTCCCTGGGTTTTCTTTTTGCTTTAAGTATCTCACACTAGGTGCTAGAAAAGCTAGGAGACCAAATATATTAACCATCACAGACAAAGAGCCCCCAAGAAAAATCTACCCTCTTTAGCCAATGGACCGGGAACAGAGAAGCCTAGTGAAACTGAAAACTTTAAACAGTATCTGTCTACTAAAGAAAAACACCACAGAAAAACTGCAGCTCCATCCCCACCAGCAAAGGCCAAGTGGGGAACCTGGACCTGCACCTGCACCAGGTTCAGGAAGGAGGCACCTCTCCCCCTCTCTGCTGAAACAGCGTCCACTAAGGTCTGGGGAGGACTCAGGGTTTCATTACTTACCAGCCACCAGTAAAGAAGCCACACACACTCACAGATGGCATCAGTGGAGGCCAACAGGGAAGCAGTAACGAGGTACCCAGCCTCTCCAAGCCAGGGCTCCACTGGGGGCGCTAATGGGACCTGAACGCCCAGCCCCTCCGTATTGGAGAGCCCCAACATCCCTGCAGTGTCGGTGGTGGCTAAATGGGGAATCTGGACTTCTACACCCAGCTTGCAGCCCTGAGGCAGCACCCCTCACTTCTCCCCCTGCCTGAGCAGTGTCAGAGAAAGCCAGCTAAAACAAAATTTAACTAAGATCCAAAGTCTCCTAACACATAATATCCAATATGTCCAGGATTCAATTTAAGAAACAACTTGTCATTTAAGAACCAGGAAAATCTTAAATGAGAACCCACAATGAGCAGGTATCAAAAGAGAGGTAACGTAAATCTTCAAATTATCTGACAGGGATTCTAAAGCAATCGTCATAAAAATGCTACTACAATGGGCAATTACAGACACACCTGCAATGAATGAAAAATTATGTATCTGACATCTTTCACTTTTGTAAAATGTGTTCATGAATAGAAGGAAATCTATGAAAAGATATCATTAAATTCTACAATGGGAGAGTTCATGATTTTTAATCAATTGTATTAGTCTGAATATTTTACTGTCTGAATATTTTTAAGAGATCATTTTAGTGGGTCAAAAAAAGTAGAGCCTAAAACTCAGCTGACAGTAATGTTTATTAGGTATCTTCCAATCATAAAAATTCCACGATTTCATAGAAATAAGCCTTGTCTTGGCAAACGCAAGGCGTTTTACCATCCCTTTGTAACGTGCTGCTCTTCTCACTTTGTTGAAATGCTGTATGTAGGTTTATGGAACTGTCTTCCACATGAACCAGGGAAACCCGTTCAATCTAAAGGCCCTGGTGGACAAGTGGCCTGATTTTGAAACAGTGGTTATCCGCCCTCAGGAGCAGGTAAGGTGCCAGAGGTGGACTGAATATGCCCCTATGTTCATATTTGCTGTGTGCTCACCTGGTGCCTGGCAATATGGCCTACCCTAGGGACAAACAAATGAATTGCAGTGATGGTCAACAAATCCCTTTCCTCAAGAAGCTCACAGCCTAAAGGAGAATATGGATAAGTCCACAGATAAATTACAGCATGGCATAAAATGTGCAGGAGCAGAAGCACAAAACAGATGCAAGAATAGCAGAGGCAGGAAGCTGATTGAAAGCATATGTGGTACACTTCCATACTCGTTCACTATTTTATTTTGCTTCCAAGATATTCCCCCAACCAGCGTTCTGCTGATGCTAAAGACCAAACACACTTTCTTATTTCTCATATTCAGTTCATGGGAATGGGAGGCAACCAGTTGGAAGGTCATGCTAATTTAAGATCATGTTGGTGGTATATTTTATCAAGAGGCTGATCTTTTGTTACAGACATTAAACGAGCATTTCTAGACTCCTATGTTATCATAAATCAAATCTTATTTCTATTCCTATTAGCCTCGGGGGAAAAAAATATTTCCTATCTCTAAAAATACGCCAGTCTTGAAACCGTGCCAACTAATTCATACTAGATCACAACTTTTCACTGTGATATTGTCTTCCCACTGAAATGCTGCCCTGGATTGTAACCAGTGTCATCAATAAACTCAAATAAAACAGGTTAGAGGTTGCAGGGAGAGGATTAGAGTTGCTTCCTGGTGGAAATTTTACTACCGCAGGATGTTGAAGATAAATAGGATTTTTTTATAGAGTACAGCAAGACAATTGTTATTTTCTAAGCACAGAAAGTAGCAATTGCCAGACATAAGGTCAGAACACAAAGCCAATTAGGGAAAATTCAGGAGCAAAATTTGGAATTATTGTTTACCTATTGTGAAATCATTTTTTTAAGTAGTGAAATTAAATAGTGAACACATTTCAAAAATAAAAACTGTATAATTATATTTCAAAATAGCATATAAAATAAAATGTATAAATATAGAAATATTAAACACATCATTTTTGTATAACTTATTTAGATGTTACATTAGTAAAAGTGTTATTCAAAAATTATCAAATTAAGTAATAAGTTTAAAATGAAGACATTTTAATAATTAATAGAATCCTGAATGAGAAATAATATTATTTGAGCTAGTTTTTAGTATCTGATCTCAAGCATAAAGCTTTATAGGTAGCAATATTGTTGATTAGGAAGTATCTTTTTGTATAATAGTTTCTAGGTATTAGAGGGAAAAAAGTTTTCTGATCCTATACTGGAGGAAGGAATTTTTCCTCATATCTGTTCCTTCATATCCAAATAATCCTATCTTGGGTTTGATAAATTTGCTAGGTATGTTTGAATTAATGAATTTATTCATTTGTTTCATGAAATTGCAGTTTGTCTAACAATGGTAAAATCTTTTTTTTTTTAAAAAAAGAAAGCATATCTGGTTTATCATCCTTTTTCTTGGTTTCAACATCTCTAATCCTGTTAACTGCACTGATTTTTATAATAATGACATGTTTATGGCTTACATGTTCTAAAAATCTTTTCACTAGAGCAATACTTATGCATTTGGCTAAAGATTTTGATTGTCAGTTGTTTGCTCTTCTACTTTTACTCTTCTGCTTGAGTTTTATGGAGGAACAGAAAAATGATTTTAAGTGAACTATCTTTCTCTGTTAGATTTGGAATTTTAAAGCAATAGTGGAGTTAGAAATAGTTACGTTCAAAACGTTTCCCATTATTAATTGAAAAAGATAATCCTTGGCTTTACCTCACAATGTAAATAATTTCTATGTTAAGAAAATACACCAACAGAAAATACTAATGTTAGTATTTTAAAATATAATACTATAATAGAATACTGAAAACCAGTATGGCAATCACTAAATACAAACATTCTGGTGCTTATTCTCTTCCTGCCCCAAACAGGAGATGACAGATGACCTGGATCACTACACCAATACTTACCAAGTTTATTCTAAGAACCCCAAGAAATGTCAGCAGTTCCTTGGCTTGCCAGAAGTCATCAACTGGAAACAACATTTGCAGATTCAAAGTAAGAGGACGGGGATGTGGGCTAGCTGCTGGGATCTCCTGTGTCTACATCCATAGTGCCACTTTTCATTTTGAACAAGTGCCCCTACATCCCACATGCCTTTCTTGCAAGCTCTGGGCACTCAGCCTGCTGCCCATTCCTTGTCTCACCTGCTGTCACCTCCATAGTGAATTGGAACTTGAAGACTGCAGTATATGGAGTTTTACATAGGAAATTATGAGTAATATAAATTTTTTAGCAGCTGAGGACTCATGATTTATTTTCTGATGTGCTCGGGATCTATCATAGTGCATGGATGTGGGAGTGGACCTTTCCCTTTGTCTTATTTCTACTTTATCATATTGTCAAATATATGAAGGAGTATTTTAGTAGTTAAGAAGATGCTCTCTGGACTACCCAAAATTGAGAATTTACTGGGCCTGTTATGAGCTGTGTGATCTAGGGCAAGTAACAACCTCTCTGTGGATCAGTCTCCTCATGTATAAAATCATTATAACAGTACAGAAAAAATACAGCCTTTAACGATTAAATGAGATCTTACCTGGTTTCATCAGTTACATTTTTCAAACTATCCCAAAGTTGCAACTTAAAAACAACAATCATTTATTAGCTCACAATTGTGTGGGTCAGCAATTTGGACTAGGGTCAGCTAGGTAGTTATTCTGCCAATCTCACCTAGATCCACCCATGTGGCCACAGTCAGCTGGAGGGTTGTCTATGAGCTGGTAGGACTAGGTTAGTCATGACCCCAAGTCTGGCTGTTGATGGCGGCTTTGTGCTAACTATTGACCGCAGAGATGGAAGCAGATTGTGCAACATGTAGAAATCACAGGGTTCTCAGGAGCAGAAAGAAAAGGCCAGCCCCAGTGAACACCATTCAAACTTCTTATTTAATCACATTTGCTACTGTTCCATTGGCCAAAGCAAGTTACAAGGCTAAGGCCACAGTCAGTTCAGGAAAGAAAACCAGGAAAGTTAAGTAAAAACAAACTGGGACCATTATAGCAACTATCTACAGAACTGAGTACATAGAATGTGTTCGATACGTTTTAGTTACTATGTTTACATCTCATCTACTTTGACAGTCATAATTGTACTGTGATGTACTCAGGACTTGTGGTATTATCCCAATTTTAAATTTAGAAGAACCATGAGAGTGAGGTAGCCCTTATCATACTAAGCGTAAGGTTTGATGACTCTAAACCCACAAACCTTCCAACCTCATTGGGCAGCTCTTCCAGAACTTTAAAAAGAAGAATCCTGTCTCCTATGATTCCTCATTTTTTTCTGCATCCAGGTTCACAGCCCAGTCTGGATACGGTGATAGAAAATCTTGGAGCCATTAATTCTGGCAAGGTCAAGCAAACACAAAATATTCTCTATGTGTCAATCAAGACGGCAAAGGAATTGATCCCTTCGATAATGGATGGAAAGGACTTACTCAAGCTTGATAAAATGAAGTCCATGTAAGTTTGATAGAAGACACTCTGCACCATTCATACCTCTCACTGTGGAAGTAGCCTTCTGCACTAGTTTTCAAGGGCTGCCACACACACACACACACACACACACACACACACACACATACACACACACACACACACAAAGCAGCCCACAAACTACTGGGTAGCTGATGACAGGTTTGGAGTCTAGAAGTCCAAAATCGAGGTGTGCACAGGGCCATTGTCCTTCTGAAACCTGTAGGGGATAATTCTTCCTTGCCTCTTCCAGCTTTGATACCTCCAGGCATTCCTTGCCTTGTGGCTGCATCACCCCAGTCTCTTCTCCTCTGTTTCTGCTCCTTTCGTCTAATTGGATTTAATTGGATTTGGTCTTTCCATTGGATTGAAGACCCACCAGATAATACAGAATGATTCCATGTTGAGATCCTTACATCTACAAGACCCTTTTTTAAATAAGGTCACATACACAGGTTCCTAGTGGACATATCTTGGAGGGCCACTAGTTAACCCACTATACCTCCCAATTTCTCTCCCTGCTTTTGCTCTGGCCTCCCTACAATCTATTTTCTGTCCAGTAGCCATAGTAATTTTTTAAAAATTTAATTTAAACCATGTCCCTCTTCTACTTAAAATACTCCAGTGCTTCCCATCTCACCTTGAAATAATTCTGAACTCCTTCACAGTCTATAATAGCCAGAATCCATCTGCCTTTTTAGCACTCACATCATCTCTTTCTTTCCCCCTCCAACAACCCTGGCCTCTGGCTACTCAATCATCACAAGCTCAGGTCCTTTGAATTTGCTCTTTCCCCTGACTATAATATCTTCCCCAAAGCCCCATCCAATTTTTACACACATGACTTCTTTTGTTACTTAGGACTACCCAAAAGTTACCTTGCCAGAGAGTCCTGGCTAAACCACCCCATCTGAAGTCACGTCCCAGTTAGTCTCCACGCATGACCCAGTTTTATTTTCTTCATAGCACTTATGACTATTTGAAAATAGTTCATTTATTTGCCTTACTTATTTGATATTTGAATCCTCCCCAATGGTATCACATGCCTCACAAGAGCAGGGACCTTCTCTATGTTGTTCACTGATAGATCATCAACAGCTAAAACAATGCCTGGCACATGGTGGGTGCTGAGTAAATGCATCTAATGTATCCACTTCACAAAACAAGATGTTTCCAAGAAAGAGAATTTAAACAAACTTTTATTTCCCCCCAATGATGTTTACTCTAATATTGAATAGAAGTGAAAGCTGATGGCAGGGATTGGATTCTCTGTGTGTTCACATGCCTGGAAGAGCTTTATGCACATTGTAAAACACATTCGACCTAAAAAGCACCTCCCTGTCTAGAATCTCACTGGATCCTCTTGTCCACCCTATACAATAGACAAGGCAGGAGACATTCTCCTCATTTCCAGACAGAAAGCAGGCTCTAATGATGAAGGGGCTTCATCACCATGAGCTTGGTTAAGGGCATAACTGGGGGGAGGGGGTGAGCCTAAGTCTTCTAGTTCCTGGGCTCTTTCCAGAATGCCTCCTGAAAGCCCTTAACACCACTGCAGAAGCCTTTGGACCTCAGTCCTCCATAACGGTGGTCATCTGTGCTCCACATTGCTGCTCCTCCCTGGACTACGGCTCTCCTATTTGTTCACTGTAGTGGCCAAGGACCCCTCTGACACCAGCATTCTAAGATTCCATCATTTTCGGCTCTGGTTTTACTGCCTGCTAGCATGGGCATTGGGGCACTCATTTATTTTCTCTAAAACTTTATCTTTCTATGTAAAATGAAGATAACACCTGAGCTGTCGAATTTGGAGGATGATGACCAAAGCTAAATGAAACAACTGTAGCTAACTTTTATGGAGTTGCTTACTGTCTGCCAGTTACTGGTGCTAAGTGCCTACATCCATTGGCTCATTGGAGCCTCACAATGATTCTGTAAGGAAGATGCAATCATCATGTCATCATTAGATGAGAAAAGGGAGGAAGTGAGAGGTTAAATAACCAGCCAAGGGTCACACAGGTGCTGCCATGAGCCCAGGTGGTCTGGATACAGAGTTACTCTCCATCAGATAAACTCCTATTCGCCTCTTAGGACAAGTTGGGGGGGAAACAAATATAATCCTTCCCAGAATGTGTGTTATTAAGGATTGTTCTTTTCTCTTGTTTCCAATAGTAACCAAGAGATGTTTAAATATTCATCCCTGGATGTTACCCATGCTGCCTTGGTGAATAAATTCTGGCTTTTTGGTGGCAATGAGAAAAGCCATAGATTCATCGAGCACTGTCTCCGGGCCTTCCCCAGCTTCTGTCTTCTAGGGGCTGAGGGGACCCCTGTGTGCTGGTCTCTGATGGACCAGACAGGAGAGACGCGGATGGCAGCCACCGTGCCGGAGTACCGGAACCAGGGTCTCGTCGCCCATGTCCTCTACAACCAGGTGCAGGCTCTGGAAAAACTTGGCTTCCCCGTGTACGCCCATGTGGATAAGACCAACCACTTCATGCAAAGAGCTAACAGAAATCTCAGTATCCCCGTGCCCGGTCTTTGGAACCAGTGGAACTATGTGCCTCTGTAAAGCTGGCCCAGAAAATAAGACAGTGTTGGGTGGGTTGTGCAGGTGGCTGGAGGAGTGGATGGTGGATAGACAGAAAGAATAAAGTATAATGGAGTGGACTCTGAGCTCTGTGAAGCAGTGACAACAGGTGACAGTTGTCTGTGAAGCAGTGATAACACTGCCTTGGTCCCTGTCCTCAAACAGCTCCTGGGCTTCCCTTAGTCTCCTCAGTATGAAGCAGGCCAGGCACTCCAGCACCCACATTTCAAGGGTCCTTGTGATGCTTTCTAATCAGTTGCATGCTTTTCTATGTTGCTCTTCCTGGAACTCCTAGCTCACTGGCCCTTGCCCATTCACCAGGTGGTGGGCTCTATGAGCTTTTCTCTGGCTTTCTATGGCTTTTCTTTTATTGGCTAGAGTGTGGCCAGTGTTCTAAATAGGCCTTTGCAAAATCATCCTTTCCCAGGTCATTTCCTAAGCCTCGTATTATAATCCCATTAAATATATCACACATACACACACGTGTACACACACACACACTATATATATATAAATATATATACACACATATATACATACATATGTGTGTGATACAACAGGGAGAATTATTAAGAAAAAGACTAACTGGTATTAATATCTTATTTTGTAGCTCATACCCCATGAAAGAGATAGCAGCATTGCTTCTAAAGGCTGAGCTTTCTTAATCCCCTTCCCCAATTCCCCTTATAATAAAGAGACTGTTTGGTCGTGAAAGCTTATTCTACGTGGCCCATGAAGGGAGGTGAGTATAGGGAGAGGAGAAAGTGAGAGGACCCAAACTCAGGGCAGTGGGTTTTTATTATTAGGGCAGGGGAGGCTTTGTACAAGGTAGTGACTAAGGCCCCACCTGGCAGCAGCATGCTGTTTTGGGAAACCTGAACCCTCTGCAGTGCAAGCGAAGGTCATGTGGGTGTCTGGTTGAGGGAGGGGTCCCCAGAAAAGTCAACTCTGAGTGTCCCCAGGAAGACTGTCCCAGCAGAGCTGGAGGAATAACACCTACTCCGAGGAAAGAAAGAAAGAGAATGTTACCTGGTTGAGGCTTGGGACCATCACAGAGCAATTCCTTAACACATCAAAATAATAGCTGTATTTTTTACACAACTATTGAATACCCGCTAAAACCCCACCCCCAGAACTACCAGGAAGTCAACAAGGGAGGTCAACAAGGGCTTTGTGACACTAAACACTAAAGTGAAGAGAAGAAACCTTATGATGCTCAAAGGGAAAGAGACCTCATAATACCACATGATAGCAGGATGAGAGAGAGGAGAGAGGAGAGAGAGAAAAGAGAGAGAGAAGAGAGAGAGAGAGAGACTAGGTCTCATGATCATCAGGTTAAAAGAGATTGCTTTTTCATATGCAGCAGGGAAGAGGAATGTTGATTTTGCATTCATCAGTTAGCTGACTTCAAATAAAGTTACCCATAAGCAGTGTAGACAAAAAGCATTTAAAGGCTCCTGTGATAGAGATTAGCCTATCAGTTCTTCCAGTCCAAACTACCAACTCTGAGGTTTTTGCCCTGTGGCTCCAAGCAGTTAAGGATTCCTACAGATCTTCACTCTGTCTGCTTGAATGACAGAACATTTACTTCCCCCTCTAGGCTAAAGATGACAAAAACACAGGGATTCCCCTCTATTCTTTTAAATCCACTTTTAAAATGTCACTTTGATAAAATTTTCTTATTCTATTTCCAAGTATGTGATAAGTCTACAATTTTTAGCAATTCCTTTCAGGACCTTATAAATTGTGTATACATTCATTCATAAACTTAGCTTATTAAATACTTTAAAATGTTCCAAACTATATTTATAGATTTTATTTTCCTTTTAAAGACTTCAATTCTCTGGCAACAAATAGAATGATCCTAAATAGTAAATAATTCTTATAAAACTAATAATGAAGACCTATCAATACAATAAATTCAGTGGGTCTAAAGTTATAAATCTAAACTTTTAAATAAATTCGGTATAATCTAATTTAAAATTATAACTCTAAATCAATCACCTAATTACGTATTTCTAGTTACTTAAAAGACTCTCACTCTAATAGGTCAAATTCTATCACAAGCTTACAAGTACCGGTATGTAAAATATCAAATATGCTGAACTGCCTTTTTAAGCTAAAATATTAGTCCTATGCATCTGATTCTCCTAAATATTTGTACATTTAATTCCAATTTTTACAAGAGTAGAAAGATGCGTGCTCACTAAAGAAGGTCTTATCACCTTGAAATATTGAAGCTATTGACTACCAGATAGCCAGGAGACTGACAAGATCTGTCTGTCACCATAATAGGACACAATGAAACTGATATATACGGGTTAAATCAGTAGTTTCACAACTTCAAAAGGGAAGTAGTCACTAAACCCACATCCCGGGATTAGAGTACAGACATTATCCTGTTCTTTTATTCATACAATTCATCACCTCCATCTAGGCTGATCAACTGATTGGGTTTTAGATTGTTCTGACATATAAATATATTTCTCAATATAAATATATTTCTCAATATAAATGTAGAGCTCCTCGAACTTCAAAGGTTCCTAAGAAGTGTAAATATAAAAGAACTTTGTAGTTAATGAAATCTTTCATTCTTTTGTATTCTTAGGATCACACAACCACTAAAACTAGGTAAAAGGAAATCTGATAGAATGTTAGATATTTCACATGACTTTATCAACCTGAATCACTGCCCTTTGGTGTCATTCTACTGTCATTCTTGAGTTAGAAAACATCTAATAAGGTGGACACCTCCAACCAAGCCGTTAAAATTACTACCAACATCATGTGCCTTGATGACCGAAGTGTTTAGACAAAGACAATCTCATTCATATAGCATATCTTGCATAACCTTCATCGATTAATGAGGAAACAACCACTCACACCCAAATTGGGGATAGTCTAAAATACACTGGCCTATACTTTTCAAAAAATGTCAATGTCGTGAATGACAAAGAAAAAGAAAATCTAAAGAACCATTTTAGATTTAAAAAGACTAAAGAGACATGACAATTAAATGCACTTTTCCATGGAGGTGCATAAATTCTCTTCTCTTCAAAAGAACTGCTCTTTCACAAAAGCTTTGCCCTACCACAACCATAATTCTTCCTTCCCCAACATCCTCAGTCACCCAATGTGAGAAGTTTAAAAATATATTAGCAGCATGGGATCCTTGCTCTTCATATAGAGAAAATTGTTAATTACCTCCTGATCGTAGTTAATTATAATAGACACTTTTGCTAAAATTTCTGTCCATGTCTTGTTTTACCACAGCATCAGGAGCTCCCTGAGGCAGCAAGCCATCTTATTTGAGTCCATCTTCCTTCCTTTCCTGCAGCCCATCCCATAAGCAGTTTAGCAGACTAGCAGGAATGTGAAAAGGGAAGGTGCTCCATGTTCAGTGAATGAACAGTGGAGGGGGCAGTGGCCAGGGAGTGCTCCCCTCTCCGAAGCTCATCCTCCAAAGCTCTCAGACATGTCTCTCAAAAGAGGTGCATATAGGGCTGTACGGATAATTGGTGTAGATGCCAACATTAAAAAAAAATTGGTCATTTCAATACATAATTACATTCAGAGTTTTTTGAAAGCTCACATCTGGTCAAACAAGACCCTATATGTCCACCAGGCAACAACCAGCCAGAACTGAGTAGTTGCTGCCTCCTGGGGTGGGTCATGCACCCTGTGCCTCGGAGTGGAAGCAAACCCACCATACCGACCTTACCTATTCATGTCGGCTGCTTGCTACCAGTAGGCATGTGAGTTTTCCATGACTGCCGTAGAGGAAAAGCTTACGCCTTCTGAATGCACCTGCCTTTTTTTTTACTGCCCCGTAGGGTTTTCTCCTGGTCATGACATTTTTGCAATACATTATGCTTTGCTGCTTTACTGTTGCTCACTAGGCAAGGTCAATTCACCCTTTTGAGTTGCTGCTCTTTTTACCAATGACATGCCAGGTCAACTACGGTGACAGGGCAGTGAGTGACCACATTCCCCACCCAGAGCAATCAGCCCAGCCCAGACCTGCTCAGTTCTGACAGGCTGATTATGTTTGTGGTTGAAGGGTCAATGCACATTTCCAAGAAAGCAGGTCATAAAAACCAGGTCTTACAGTAAAGACTTGTTTATTTATTCTGAATCAGTGTCAGACAAGGCCAGCTTACCAGACTCTGCAGAGTAAATGTTCACCAACAAAATGTCTCTTAGTTGGGAAAATCACTTTACAAAGGTGGTTTACCCAAACCATACTTGGCCAAAATGAAGGGAATATTTTCATGTGTGGTAACCCGAGATTTTCAAGAAAAGTTTAAGTGGGGAGGTGAGGACAGGATCCCTATCTAGGCTATGATGCCATGAATCCTGGCATAGGCTAGAATCATGAGTTGCAAATATAATTTAGAAAAGTGCACAATATATACTCATCCCTCTCCTTCTTCAATCAATGTCTCTCTTCTCTCCATTTTTACCTCCCTCCCAGTGACCCCAGAATGCTTGTGCTACCAATTCCTGCCCAAGCTGCTGAGTGTGTGCAAAGCTACAAGTTTCTCCCCAGAAAAACCACATTTCATCAGGCAAGCTTATCTGGAAAGTCAGAGAGCAACTCGCATCCTTCCAAATGCATGTCTACTTCATGGAAATAAGGGCAGTGGATTCACCCACAGGAGTGGAAAGCTTCAGGAGGAAAACACTGTCGTTGGCCAGTGGAACCCCCCTCAGGGAACTGGAGACTTGCTTCATGGTCCTGTGAATTCAGTGATGTTGTTGGAGGCCTAGACCATTACACATTTTCATGGTTTTCAATCTCCCCTCTCCCAGCTCTTCTCATTTCCTTGATTTTGTGTTCTCCCTAGACTAATGTTCCAGAAAAGATGTTATCTTGGCAGTAGTAGTAGTAGTACTATTGCTACTGTCTTGGTAGTACTAGGTGGACATCCATGACTAATGGGATGAGATTGTAGGAAGGTAAGGGTGGGGGCAGGGAGGCAAAGTAGGGTTGGATGGGGGTGAGAAAGCTGGAGATGTTGAGAAGCAGCAGTAGGACACTTCAAAGGAAGAGCCAAAAGAATCTGCTGACTGATTGAATATGGGGTGTGAGGGCCATGAAATGTACCTCTCAGAGCTCCCACTGCAGGCAGTGTTAAAATCCACCCATCCTTTGCTCTAATTCCAAGCTCCCAAGGGCTGCTCCTGCCTGTAGCACAGCAGAGAGACATGAGACACTTACCGGGCAATTTTTAGCCAAGAAGCTCTGTGGGCCTGAGACCCACAGGTCTCTCTTTCTCTCTCCTCTCTCTCTCTCCTCTCTTCTCTCTCTCTCTACCCTCTCTCTCTCTATTCTCCTCTCCTCTCCTCTCCTCTCCTCTCCTCTCCTCCCCTCCTCTTCTCTCTCTCTCTCTCTCTCTGACTTGGATTGCAGACTGACAGCTCTCCCAGCCTTCCACAGCTCCCTCCCTTTTTGTCTCACAGTCATTCTCCTAATAAATCTCTTGCACATCTAATCTAGTCTAGGAGTCTCAGAGGATCCAGGCTAAGTGAGAGAAAGTAGTTCAAGAACGATAACAAAGTCTTTGGTCTGGGGAACTGGAATAACAGAGATGTCATTTCCTGAAGGTATGCACATGTGAATGACACCCTCAGTACCCCATCTAGCTCCTCATACTGGGTATGCTACATAATTTGAAGCTCTGTTACCTAGATGGCTTTGGAAAAAGCCCTTCACAGCTTTCTGGTTAACTGTGTCTGCTGATAAGCAAGGCCGTCCCTTGCTCTCCACTCCACGCTGCCAGCAGAGGGCAGCAGAGGTAGCCAGGCCTGTAGAACAGGCTCCCTCAGCTGGCAATGTTGAAGATAGTGGATGCCTCTCATTTTAGGTCCTTGAGATTTCAGGTGACTTTAGCCTCCTGCAAGGTATCTAAAAGATGTTGCCTATCTTTGATTACAACTCAACTACTGGGAAACCGTGACCTCAGGATATTATGGCTAGAACACTTGCAAATGATAAAGTGAAAGGTCCAACCTGTCCAAGGAAGAGGTCTCAAAGTCGGCACTTGCAACAAATAAAAATGTCATTCCTTAAGGGTCTTGTCCTTGTGCCTCAGGCATTTCTAACCAAGGGCTGCAAACACATGGGGGATAATAAGGAGGTTTTTGATATGAATTACTTGGTTGGGAAATGGAAAGTTATAGCAATGCAAAAAAATTAACTGGAAATACCTGAAATTATAGTTTGGGGTCACCATCCCTCCTCTCTAGTGCCTACCAAGGTTCCTGGTACATAGTAAGAACTCAATAAAGATAAGTATTTGTTAAGAAATGAATGAGTCAAAATAAGGTAAAAATAGGATGTTTTCAGCTTCTTTTTATACTCTTTTGTATACACATTACACTTAATAGTTTCCTGTGGAATGTGGAAACTTTATATACATATGCAGATTGCAATACATATTTTCTGTGATTTTGTTTCTTTACAAACAAAAGAATCAGAATGAAATTTACGGAAAAGCAAAATAAAATGATAGTGGAATTGCCTTTTCCCCTCCTCTTTTTTTTAGATTGGTAAAGCATAAACACGTTTCGCAGTATCTGCTGTTGAGAAGGGTATGGAGAAGTGGGTGCTCCTCTAGGTTACTGTCAGGAGTATACATTTATATTATGCAACCTCTGGGGGAGGCAGTGTTAGCAATCATGGTTTTAAAAAAAAAATAGACTTTAATTTTTGGACCAATTTTAGGTTTCTAGAAAAATTAGGCAGGAAGTATGCAGAATTCACATTACCCCTCTACCCCCTCGCACATACATTTCCACTGTTATTAATGTCTCACATTAGTGTGGTACACTTGTTATAATTGATAAGCCAATATTGATATGTTATTTTTTTTTATTTTAGCATGTTATAGGGGTGCAAACTCCCATAAGGTTAACCATAAGGTTAAGGTTATGTACATTGCCCTTGCCTCCCTTCCCCCCTTGAGACAGAGCTTCACGCGTGTCCACACGGTGTGCATCACACTCACTATGTATGCATATTCCCATCCCCTCCTCACCCCTCCCACCTCCCAACACCCAATTTTTTTTTTTAACATTTTGGTTACATTTTATACATTTGCTCTCCCTAGCAAGGGTTAGAGGTATGCCCTTCCCCTCCACAATGCTCACCACATCCCTCAGATGTGGGACTACCTCCCTGTCCCCCGAATCTCTTGTGAACACCACCACCATTTGAGCACCATAGTGTTAATCAGTTGGTACCAATTTGATGGCGAGTGTATGTGGAGCTCATTATTCTAATCTTGTGTCACCTCACTTTGGATAATAGACTTAAGCTCAATCCAGAATAATATAAGTGGTGCTAGCTCGCTGTAGTTTCTTAGAATTGAGTAATATTCCATTGTAAACATACACCAAATTTTAATAATCCACTCATGAATTGACAGACACTTGGGTTGTTTCCACATGCTTGCAATAGTGAATTGTGCTGCCATAAACATTTGGGTGCAGATGTCTTTATAATAGAATGTCTTATGCTCTTTTGGGTAGATGCCTAACAATGCTATTGCTGGGTCCAATGGTATTTCCATTTTTAGCTCTTTGAGCTATCTCCAAATTCTTTTCCACAAAGGTTACACTAATTTGCAGTCCCACCAGCAGTGTAAGAGTGTTCCTGTCTCTCTATATCCTCACCAGCATTTTTTATTTTGGGATTTCTTGATACAGGCCAGTCTCACTGGGGTTAGGTGATATCTCATTGTGGTTTTGATTTGCATTTCTCTAATGATTAGCGATATTGACCATTTTTTTTTATATGTTTGCTGGCCATTATTCTGTCTTCTTTAGAAAAGTTTCTGTTCATTTCCGTTGCCCATATCTTGACGGGGCTGTTTGATTTTTTCTTGTTAATTCTTTTGAACTCTAGATAGATTCTTGTTATCAGACCTTTATCAGAAGTGTAGAGAGCAAATATTTTCTCCCATTCTGTAGGTTGTCTATTTGCTTTAATGATAGTTTCCTTGGCTGTGCAGAAGCTTTTTAATTTGATCAGATCCCATTTGTTTATTTTTGTTACTGTGGTAATTGCTTTAGGGGCCTTCTTCAAGAATTCTTTGCCTAGGCCAATGTCTGAAAGGGTTTCCCCAACATCTTCTAGGATTCTTAAAGTTTCATGTCTTAGGTTTAAGCCTGTTAACCATCTTGAGTGGATTTTTGTGAGAGGTGAAAGGTAGGGATCCTGATTCATTCTTCTGCATGTAGCTATCCAGTTTTCCCAGCACCATTTATTGAAGAGAGATTCTTTTCCCCATTGTATATTTTTGTCTGCTTTATCAAAGATTAGGTTACCGCCCATATGCAGATGGTTTCATCTCTGGAATCTCAGTCCTATTTCAAATATCGATGCTTCTGTTCTTGTGCCAGTGCCAGGCTGATTTAATTATTATTGCTTTATAGTATAGTTTGAAGTCAGGAAGACTGATGCCTCCCAGTTTGTTTTTTTTACTTACGATTGCTTTGGCTATACAAGGCTTTTTTCTGGTTCCATACAAAGTGAAGAATTATTTTTTTTAGATCTGTAAAGAATGCTGGTGGGGATTGCATTAATTCTATACATCACTTTAGGTAATAATTTTGATAGGGATTGCATTAATTCCATACATCACTTTAGGTAATATTGATATTTTAACGCTATTGATTCTACCAATCCATGAAAAAGGTAGAT